AAGGAACCTGATGACCAGGTCATGCTTCCCTACTGACTTCCCTTCCGCGGGGTCATGGTTAGCAGCAATCGCAGCGACATAGACTTTAAGGGTGGAGGGAGACAGCCTTCGCTCCAACACTTGCTGTAAAAAGGAAAGCACGACCCTGATCGGGCATTTCCGGGGGTCTTCTCGGTGAGAAGAACACCACTCGACAAACAGGTTTCACTTCAAGGAGTAAGCGTGTCTCGTAGATGGTGCTCTCGCCAAAGTGATGGTGTTCAGTGGGACCGCTGTCCTGCCCTTGAATGAATTCAAGCAGTTCAGCACCGACTGCGCACATTCCTCTATGAGGCGTGCTGTCTGTTCGACCAAATCCAACTCCATACCGAGAAATTAGATCCTCTGCGTCGGGGAGAGTTTGCTCTTTTCAACTCTCTAAGCGAGATCCCAATTCGTCGGTCACCGACGTTACGTCGAGAGTGATTGACTGAAAGGGAGCACTACATTGCTGCTGTTCCATAAGCACCACCTGCTGTCAGAGAGTGAATTTGCATTCTCATTCATCCCGTCTGATTATTTTCCTAAAGCATCGTGTCATTTGTATCTTTGTTTTATATATTCAGTTGTGCTATTGCTTGTAATTTGTTCATTAGTTTTTATTTACTGACTGTTCACTTGTCTTTAATAATGTTTATGGGCGAATTCCAAATGTTTTTTTTTGTGCCATTATTTTTTAATTTGGGGGGGGGGGGTACAGTCAATTTTTTTTTTTTATTTTACACAGAAAACAGTTTTGGAATGGCATGAAGGTGGGGATTTTTTTTTTTTTTTTTTTTGTTTTTTTTTTTTTGTTGGGTGGGGGGGGGGGGGTACAGTCAATTATCTTCTTTTATGTTACACAGAAAACAGTTTTGGAATGGCATGAAGGCGAGTAAGTGAGTAATCAGTAAGTGATGACAGGATTTAAATTTTTGTGAACTATCCCGTTAATCGCCTCCTTAAAAACACTGACAGATAAAATTGCTGTCTGTGTATTAAAGATGCGCGGATCAGCTCAAACGTCACCTGAATCCACTGCTACAAATAAATTATCCACATGCCACCCACCCACACCTGTATTTTTCTCTGATTTAGATATCTGTCCCAACCCGCACCCGATCGTTACATTACAAAGATTCTAATTCTTAGATCTGCATGATATGATGAATGGATGGTTCATTGTTAACAGCAGATCTAGTAACGTTAGAAATTAGTCTGCCTGATGAATAAATGCATTTAAAACATGTTAAAAAATGTTTGTTAAGTTTAACAAAGTTTTACGTTTGTATGTATTTTTTTATTACCCGACCCACGGATTATCGATATAACTCTGCGCATCACTACTGTGTATTCATGACAATGTTATGTTGTTTGAAGCGTGCCTCCAACATATTTTTTCATGGGTCCCCTGAGCTCTGACTGCATAGCTCAAGTTGTTTCTGCCCTAAATATAGAGTTGGCTTTTCCCTACAATGTCAAATGTAACTTGATTCCATAAGTTAAGTCACAGCACGTCAGTTGCTGGCTGACCGGCTGAGTTCCTCTCACTCTGTGCCACACTGCCTGATGGAGTCTGTGGGAGAACTGTGCAGTCCCACTGGGGCCAGCTCCAACATACTGAGCTTGCCGGGATCCTGCCCCTGGGATGAGGACGAGGAGTCCCTGGATCTGGAAGGAATCAAGCCCAAATCTTCACCCATACCAAGACGATATTGACAGCCTACCTGAACAGATCCATCCTTCATTACCCATAGAGGTTTTCAAAACTTCATGTTTGGATAATCAGAGGTCCTTTATAAAAACTGAAAAGTCACAAAACCAGGAAGACCCTACAAATATCTACACCAAAGAGGAAAATATATCAGTGCAAACAGAATATTCAATCAGCACCTCTTGCATTCTTGCCCAATCTCCAGATGACCCCACAAGGATCAGCTTGGGTTCCTCTGATGATAAATTAGAGTCTGACTGGTGTGAGATGAGATCGAGCATTGAAAAACTTTCTCATTTAGCAATAGCAACAACTATGCCAATAGAACCATATACAGAATTGGAGAACACACAGATAAATATGAGCAATACTTTGGAGAGCTGCCAAATTAATGAAAAGAAGGAACAAATGCTCATGGGTTTTTCTACACAGACTTCAGAGATGGAGAGCTCCAGTATTATTAATTTTGATGGAGAATGTAACACATCAGTGATTAAAGAGATAGAAGAAATTCACAAAAGCCTGGAAGAGCAAGAAAAGGGAAATGGAAATCAAATTAAGCAGATGGAGAAGCAGAAACAAGACAAAGAGGAGAAAGAACAAGAACCAGAAGAACAAGAAGGTGCAGAAGAAAAACATGAAATGAAAGGAGGAATAAATAGCATTGAAGATGAGTTGAAATATATAGACGATGAAGAGGACTTGGATGCAATGGAAACTGAGAGAGAAAAGAAACAACAAGAAGATGCACATGATCTGCTTTCTCAAGATTCAGAGGAGCAGAAGCAGATCATTAGTACCGACACTGTTAAATCATTACCACAACATCATATTGACTTAAATGAAATAGAAATTCTAGGTGAGTACTCAGAAAAAGAGGACATACACATCAACCATGGATTAGAGATCTGTGAGGAAACTGCTACATCTTGGCAAGAATCATCTCAAAAGACTGATATTGAACTCAGTGGAAGTATGCAAGCTATGGAGAATGATTGGAACCTCATTGACTTTATTGATAAAGAAGAGAATGTGTGCTGTGAAAGTGTGAAACGGGAATGGGAAACTATTGATGATGTAAACAGTATGCTGGAAAACATGGAACGCCTGGCAAAAGACTCAGTGAACAGAGATCTTGAAAACGTTGAAGACAATACCTCAACAGAATCGCAGATAGATGATGAGATGGAGCTGTACCTGAACAGTCTGAGGAATTCACAACAGTCAGTATTCAGAGAAGGCGCAATGAGTGGAAGCTATGGCAAAAGACCCTCCTTGAGCAGAGGAAGGCCATTAGCTATGCCTTCAATCTCTGAGTCTATGGACGAGGACCAGCCGAGTAGTTCCCTAGAGGATTTAACAAATATTGAGTACAACATGAAGCTGGAGAGAGCTACACTGCCCCTAGTGGATGGGAATGAACATGTCATTGGACGTAATGTCTTGTGGTGGAAAGAGTTTCTGTCCTATGACAATATGTCAAGGGTGACTAGATACACATTTTTGTTGATAGTGTTTTTGGTCATAGCATATTATTATGACTTCATTGCATGTTTTGCCCTATATATTCTTACAGTGTATTGGCTGTTTTATCAAGGTGAGGAAGAACCACTGAAAAGCTCTCAGAAAGGTGAAAGAGGACTGTAGTAAATATGATTTACTCATCAACATTTGTTGGAGAACTTAGAAATGTGAATCTAAATGTTTTGTACACATACAATTGTTGTACAACATTGGATTATGTGGGGCTATTTATCTCACAAAATTTCATAAAGGCAAAGACATGTTTATAAGAAGACTTTTACATTAATTTGCCATTACATAATTCAACAGGTATATTGCCTTGCTCTACAGACAACATAAAGTTTGCATAAAATATCAAAATGCTCTTTACAAAGAGCTGAACATACAGCAAGAGATTATATGGGGTCTACAGTATATATGTAGAAATGTTTGGGTTCTGTGTTAATGGTGCCTGGTACAGTGATGATACACTGGGTGAGTAAAAAGTTTGACAGATTATAGAGGATAAGTCTTTAAAAAAGGATTTCATTGACATACTTTTATGCATAGCTTTAACTTCATGCTAAGTACCTGATTGGATTATGGTTTATATACAATGCATATACAAAATACATAACCTGTTACCTATAACTATAACCTCTTTTTTTTTAATAATCATGTTGATTTTAATGTCTAATATATCTTGGCAATAAGATGAATGTTCATGTAACATCTGAAGTGATGAACAAAAAAAGAAATGCATTTTTCTGTTGCAACTATTTAACAAACGTTTTTCCATACATGGTCGTTCAAGTTTATTAGAGTTCATTTTTTTTCTTTACATATCATCTGGTCTGTTTACAGTAAAACAGTTTGAGACATCAAGGATCAATATCCTCCTTTGTGTCAATATACAAAACATTATGGTCTTAACATCTCCAAACTCACCAGCTTTTGTTAATAAGGACAGATGTGTCAGAAGTGTCATATGACACAGTCTAAACACAATGTATAAGCCGTGTAAAATAAATAATAACTTCCATCGTTGTACTCTCAAAATAGATACGATTTGTGGATTTTTTTGTGTGGTGTCTGTAAATTTGCTTGTCCAATCAACAGAGTATTTTATTGTAATTCAATATTGTGCAGCTGTTATTATTTCTTAGTTGTCTTTATCTTTCCCATTTATTGTTAGACACATTCACGGAACTGTCTTTCAATGAACAAACAGATGAACTATGATCTCATATCCAGGTTATTAGATTATGCAGTTCACAGAAATAAATCTGACCACATATGTCCCCAAATAGACTCCTTTTTTAGCTGTAGATATTTAAGAATGTTTCAATTGCTTCTGGCCACACAGTGAAAGTCAATGGAGTCCATAACAAAAGCCAAAAGACTTTAATTGTATGGACAAATTGTATTTTTTATTGTCTTTTGTGTTCCACAGAAGAAAGAATGCATGCATGAGGGTGAGTAAATGGCATCATTTTAATTTTTGGGTGAACTTTCATGGCTAGATGAGTGACTGCATATTTATAAGCTAACAGAATAAGAAACACTTTAGTCCCTTTAGTTTAAAGTTCACGGGGGAGCTGTTTGTACAGTTGGGCAGGGTGACTATTATGGGATTATCACTCCCTCTAAATGGGATTGAACTACATGATGACATTTTCAAACCCAAGGGGACACACAAAAGCACTGTTGCTCCAGCTTTGCTAACTTGTGTTTGACACACTGACAAGGATAATATGGATAGGCCTACATATACGGTTAATTAATTTTCTCAGTCATCTCAATGGCAAAAAGTGGGGGGCTGGGGGGGTCTGCAGCCTGCCCCTTTAATTGCCGACGCTAAAGTGCACTTTCGGTCCGATTAATCGAGAAGAAATCCCCGGATCGCTCTCATAATGCCACCCTCCCCTGCACCTCCGGAGGACTGTGCACGCCACTGCCTAGTTTTGACATGATTCTTCATATTGCGAAAAAATACTGCAAAGTAATTAACTGGGTCCGACTAGTTCTGGTGTTCAGTGAGTTTTATAATATTCACAGTAAGCCATAATAACTCTGTGGTGTGAAACATGACAAAAGTACTCACGTTCTCTCCACGCCACACATAATTCCGTGTCAGAGCGCGCGGGAATGTGACCCTCCTGATGTGATTCTAACGACCAAATGCTAGAAAGACGGTAGGTGTATTGTTTTTTTAGCGGCTTTGACTAAATTAGTAATCCAGTGTAAATGTAAATGTCTACTATGATGCGAAGGAACGCTTTGAATGAACATCTTTTTTCTGTCTCTCTCTCTCTCTCTCTCTGTCTGTCTGTCTGTCTGTCTGTCTGTCTGTCTGCAGCACGACGTCACAGTCTAGTCAGCAAGCCTGTGCAGGGTCGTTCAGCTGTTCCTGTTTTGCTGTTCATAGATCCGATGGCAATGTTTGAAAACATAAACAACGTTTAATTCTCCTGCGGGGGAAAAAGGCTATAAAGAGAGAATTTATGAGCATGAATCCTCTGAATTGTGTGTCCTGAGTCCTGACTGTGTACAGGTGACAAGTGTGCTGCTCTAAATGCTTCGTCACTGTCAATTATTGATCAATTTATTGTTTAACACCTTTTTTTATCTAAAGACTTAATACACATATGATAAATAATGGTCAGCTGACCTATTTTTAGTGTGTCTACTTGCTGGGGATGGTATAGTATAGGCTAAATAAGTATAAATACCCATTCAGTGGCATAAAATGGTCTTTAAAATGACAATAATATCGCTTATCGCAATTATTTCTGGGGCAATATATTGCACAACAAAAAGTTGTTATCGTGACAGCCCTACCAATACTACTGATGTCTCTATGAAATAGTTTCCCCCCGTAATATTTAACCATTGACTATAGCCATTCAACATTACAGTATAATTGAGAGCTATCAATTTTAACATTTATTTGACTTTAAAAATAACAACTTCTAATTTAAGTGAACTTAAAACAAATTTCACACAAAAACCCATTAAATGTCATATTTAGCTTCCTGTGCCCTTCAGCAAGTAGGACATTTAATAAAGTTATCAAACACTAAATTCTAAATTAAATAAAGATTAATGCTTAAAGCTACAAAAGTTATTGATTTCCTCCTTTTTTCTTTCTTTTTTTTTTTCTTTTGTTCTTTGATTAACAGATGTCACAGCAGCTGGTTATTAGGTTATTTTTGCTGCCACTGCTGATGATGCGGATCTGACACGCATCATATTTTCTCACAACTCTTTACCTTTTCTGACCCACTTCAGGTCTTAAAGTCTCTGCTTATGAGCTGATGAGTTGAATCGGGTGTGTTAGATGAGGGAGACAGTGCTTGGCCGCTCCAGGACAGTTTTGAAAACTCCTACGTTAATTGCATAAAACATTTTTAACACGTTAAACTGAAAAAATTAATCTTATGTGTCAACGCGCTAATTTAGACCGCACTTTTTATATATATATATATATATATATATATATATATATATATATATATATATA